GGAAAATCGATTTTCTGACATGTTAAGAAATCGATTTTCCGACTTTATGGAAAATTGATTTTTTATAATATTGGAAATTTGGTTTTCTATTTCGAGGCATTGACTTGTGTATACATTGAGATATAAATTTTCTGTCATGTTGAGATATTGACTTTTTGTCATGTTGGGATACAGATTTTCTGTGTAGATGTTTCCGTTGATGTTGTCATCGTGGAGATTGAAGTTGCCATTGATGATGGGGCCGCTGATGTTGCTGCTGATGTTACTGTCGTATAGGTTGATGTTATTGCTGATGTTACTGTTGTATAGGTTGATGTTATTGCTGATGTTACTGTCGTATAGGTTGATGCTATTGCTGATGTTACTGTTGTATGGGTCGATATTGCCGCTGATGTTACTGCTAATGTTACTGTCGTATGGGTTGATGTTACTGCTAATATTACTGTCGTAAGGGTTGATGTTGCTGCTAATGTTACTGTCGTATAGGTTGATGTTACTGCTAATGTTACTATCGTATGGGTCGATGTTGCCGCTGATGTTACTGTCGTATGGGTTGATGTTACTGCTGATGTTACTGTCGTATGGGTCGATGTTACCGCTGATGTTACTGCTAATGTTACTGTCGTTTGGGTTGATGTTGCCGCTGATGTTACTGTCGTATGGGTTGATGTTGCTGTTGGTGTAATGGTCATCGGCTTTATGGTTTTCGTTGGTGCAATGGTCATCGGTTTTATGGTTTTCGTTGGTGTAATGGTCATCGGTTTTATGGTTTTCGTTGGTGTAATGGTCATCGGCTTTATGGTTTTCGTTGGTGTAATGGTCATCGGCTTTATGGTTTTCGTTGGTGTAATGGTCATCGGCTTTATGGTTTTCGTTGGTGTAATGGTCATCGGTTTTATGGTTTTCGTTGTGATCGTTGTCAAAGTCATGGTTGTCGTTATCTTCATAGGGAAGGGGTGCTCCAATACAGCCGTCGATGTTTTCATTGTTAGGGCTATCGCTGCTTCCACTCCCACAAAAGTTGCCGTTGTTATTTTTGATCGATTTACGATTACGCGTTCCTTTAGCTGGTCCCCTTTTTTTGCTGGGCTTGGTAAAGTAACAATGGCCTGAATTTCGGTTTTGACAGTTCGTGCATATGGGTTTTCCCTCACACCTAATCCTTTTCTCCTTGCAAAAGTCGCAGGCACGTGTGGCGTTTGTACGTGGGTTTTCGGTCATTTTGGTATTAATAGGACTTTAGATGAGCTGTGAAGGAAGAATTTTTTTGGATGGGTTTTAAAAAAAAAAAAAAAAAGGATAAATTCTGATAGCAAAAAATTTTTTAAAATCCTATGCTTATATAAAGAGGTTTGCTGCGTTCCCTATTTGGAAACAATTACATGAACGGAATAAATCAAGTCGGCTAACCGTTTTAGGTTTTTATTAAAGGTCAAAAAAATTGATAACATGTAAGCGCGCAGCATCTGGCGTTACCCATTTATACTTTTTTGTTTGTATAAAAAAACCATTATACTCGGAGTTATTGCACGCACATTAAGGTATAATAGGTTAGATTTTTATTTATTTATTTATTAATTAATTAAGTTTTTTTATTTTAAGTTTTTTATATTAAATTTTTCGAAAAGTAACTTTATACAAATTATTTTAATGCTATTATTCAAACATTATAATTATTATAGTATAAATTCACATAAAAATCCACCTTTTTTTTTAATAAATATTAATAAAATTTTTAGATATTATCTTTATTAAGAAAGATCATAAAGTGTGTCTTGCCTTAAATCAATAAATCAATATAGATATACTGTATAATATTTATTTGAAAGTTTTATTTGAAAGTGGTTTTTGTAATTAAATAATCAATCATTTTTTAAATTGTAAAAAATAAAAACAAATAAAAAATTTTCTGTTGTTATTAAAGATACGTATATTACAAGTATTAATTTAAAATACTGTAAATAATTTAATATCTAAAAAATCATATAATTGGATATGAATATAAATGCATTAAATTTGCTTTTTAATATGCAGTATAATCAATTTGTATAATAAGTACCTATTAATCCAATCGCAATATATGATAACAATAAATATATAATTTTGAATTATAAAAAATCAAATTAAAAAATTGTAAGAAAGTAATTAATAAAAATTCACAAAAAAAATTTATTTACGTTATGAAATTATTTATAATCAAAATACTGTATCATGTAAAATTATTTAGCAATTTACACAATTTAATTGCTACTAATTTGATATATTAATATATACGGTAATTTGTTAAATATTACGTTTATGATTATCGTAGAAATGATTTTAAATTTACTGAATGAAAAATTAGAAAAATTGGTTAATCTTAAAATATATTCAGTACAAAGCGCATGAAATTCTTAAAAACTTACTTCCATGGCCCTTTTAGAAGTGGTGATAGTATCAACTGTTAAATTCAATAATAATAATATTATTATTATTATTATTAAAAAAAACCCGTAATAACAAAATGAGATAAATAAAGTTATGGAGACTAATAAATACAGTAATTCATCTTGATCGTCAACGGTAGCTTCGGTTCCCCAAAAAACACCAAAGAAGTCCTCTTGACGATAAACCTTGCGAACCGGACCATGGCTCTCCATTATATATTTATGTTCATCTTTTATGTTGAAAAATCGATTTACCAAGTTGGAATATCGAATTTCTGTCATTTTGAGGCATTGACTTGTGTATACACTGAGATATTGACTTTCTGTCACACTGAGATATTGACTTTCTGTCACACTGGGATATTGACTTTCTGTCACACTGGGATATTGACTTTCTGTCACACTGGGATATTGACTTTCTGTCATGTCTAGACATTGATTTTCTATCATGAAGTGATATTCTATCACGTTATTATTTTGATTATTTGTCAAGTCGATATTTTGACTTTGATTTTGGTTTTTTGTTACGTTGATATGTTGATTTTGACATATCTTGTTAAGACATTGATTTGTTTCGTTGAGATATTGAAGTGTAGTATCGAGATGTTCTTTTGTCTTGTCAAGACGTTGTTGATATGCCATGTCTAGGTATTGATTTTTTTGCGTGTTGAGGTATTGTTCTGTCAAATTGAGGATCCTATCTACATGGTTGAGAAGCTGACCTGCCTTGTCGAGAAATTTGTTTGCCCAGTAGATGTCATTTTTATTGTTCTTGCTATTGCTAATGTCGTTACCGCTGTTGGTGTTTCCGTCGTTGTCGCAGCTGCTGATGTTTAAATCACCGTCGTCGTTGATGTTAATGTCGTTTAAGTTGGCGCCGTCGTTGTTGCGGCTGTTGATGTTTGAATCACCGTCGTCGTTGATGTTAATGTCGTTTAAGTAGCTGCCTCTGTTGATGTCGTTAACATTATCGCCGTTGTCAATTTTAATATTATCACTGTCACCAATTTTAATGTTATCACCGTTTTCACCGTTGTCGATATTATCGTTGCCTTTACAGTTACCCTTGTTAATGTAGTCGATGTTGCCACTACTATGTTCATTATTATTTTCACCATTGTTAACGTTATCATTGTAAATTTCACCGTTTCCACCGTTGTCGATATCATCGTTGCCTTTACAGTTACCCTTGTTAATGTAGTCGATGTTTTCACCGCTATATTCGTTATTATTAATGTAGTCTCTATTATTAACGTTTTCACCATTGTTAACGTTATCATTGTAAATTTTACCGTCGTCAATATTGTCGCCGTTACTGATGTTGACTTTATCGATGCTGTTAATGTTGTTATTTTTTTTATTTTTTATTTTTTTACGGTTTTTCGATTTTTGTGGTCCCCTTCTGGTAGCTTCTCCAAAGTGACATTTTACATTATGCTTTTTACACTTCAAGCATACAGGATCCGCTCCCTCACATTTGACCTTTTTTTTCCTACAATAGTCGCAAGCGAGAGTAACATTTTTACGTTTGTGTTCTTTCATTTTGCTGATGAAAATAGGTTCAAAATAGGTTCAAAATGTGAGTTAAGAGAAACGAATGAATTTACAGAAGCATCAAGATCCAAGCGTTTATGCTGTGTTTGGTCTTTTCCTTATTCGGACACAATAACATTTGAGCGTACAAATAACCGCTTCAAGTTTTATTAAAAAGATCGTAAGGTCATTTGACGCGTACTTATAATAACAAGGGTGTTTCTAAGGTATTTTATCTAGTTGACTTGAGATACAGTAAATGTAGAAAATATGGAGTATCCATGTTTTGAGTAATTTTGCGTTATTGTCTTCCATAAATGCTAGTATATTCCATATCACGTGATATAAGCTAAACTCGGCTCTACTAGAAATTTTATGTTAAATGAATGCTTTATATCAAATAATTTTTCTATTATAATATGACAAAAAAATTTCGAAAATTGATTAAAATATTTTTTAAAAAAGCTTTTATTTAAAATATAATTTATTATATTTACCTGATAATTTAATAATTTAATATTATTTTTAATTGCAATTTATAAAAAACATCTTTTAAAAGAAATTTTAAAATCCAAAAATTTACAAATTAAAATTATAAGAAATTTTTTTTTGAAAAATCTTCTTATAATTCTTTTATTTTAATAATATTTCTATAATAATCAAATTTTAAAATTCTTATAATTTACTATATGCAAAATTATATTTGTTTATTAAATTAAATATTAATTTTTATTTTTATTAATAATAAAAATTTTAAAGTATTATTATCAGATAATTTCTTTAAAAGTTTTTAAATTTAATGATTTTATTTTTTAAAAAAGCTTGTACTTTTATAGTTATAAATTTATTATTAATTTTAATATTAATAAGTTTTATATATTAAAAATAAATAATTATTATTTTTTAAAATGTATAATTTATTTAACTAAGTTTATTTAATAAATATTTTATTTATTATTATTATTTGTATTTTTTTAACAAATCTTTTACTTTTTTATAATATGTTTAAATTATTTTTTTGATAAAATATATTAAAAACTAAAAAAATTAATTGGAATTTTCTTTTTTACAATATTGATCTTATAATCTAATTAAAAAATTTAAATTAAAAAAAATTAATTTAAATATTTTTGAATATATTAATTAAAATAATAATAATTAATTAATTTTAAATTATCTGTTATTAAAATTTAGATATATAGTATATTTAATTACATTATATATTTTAATTAAATTATTTATCTTGAATCTATAATGATTTCTTATAATGTTATCTAAAATTTCATTAATATTTAAATATTTAATAGTATTTATATTATAATATTTTTTTAAAATATAGCTTTTTAATATTTTTTCTTGAAATAATTAAATAATAATTCTTTTTTTAAATAAATATAACTAATATCATATTTAAAATATTTATTATACATTTAATTTTTTTTATAACTTTAATAAAATTTTTTAAAATAATTAAATTTTATTAAAATATTTATTATTAATATATTTTTTTATAAAAGCTTTATTATATACTAATCTAATAACAAGTAAAATAATAATAATTAAATATAATTATCAAAAAAAATTCTTTTTAATTAAAAAACCCTTTTTTATATATAATATTTTTTTAAAAAAAATTTATTTATAATAATTTTTTCAAAATTAAAAAAATAAATTTCTTTATCTTTACCTTTCAATACTTAAAAGTTCTTTACACTTCTTTTATTTTTTATTACAGAAGTTTCAAAAAACTTAAAAAATTATATTAATATATTGGAATAAAACTTCTGATTAAAAAAAAACAGTTTGAAAGCTTTGTTTTTTCTTTGAATTGCATAAAAAAAGATTTATAACAGTTACTTTTCTACAAATATCTTTTTATTTATACTTTTTACTAAAAAACAATTCTTATTAAATAACTATTTTTTTTTCAAAAGATTGTTCTTTAACTCAAAAAATCAAATATTATATTTATATTGTTTATATTGTTAGTTTGAAGTATTAGCAATATATACAATATCTATTTTTCAATATTACTTAGCATAATATGCTACATCACAAAAAATCAAAAAATTTTACTTAAAATGAAATATTATCAAATATCAAAACAAATTTATATAACTAAAATATCATATAATAATTAATATAAACAAAATCAGTTTTGGCAACAACAGTTAAAACAAAATCATATCACTAATTTATAAATCAATTATCTTACCAATTATTAATCATATCAATATAACAATAATAATAATTACAATAACAAATAAAATTATATGTATTTTATTATTCATATTAATCAAGATTATATTTACAAGTAGTAAAAAATCAAAAAGACAAAACAATTATTTGTATCAGAAGTTTTTTTAAAAAAATATTTTTCTTTCTAATAGATTTTATAATTTATTTATTTTTATTTTAGTTTTAGTTACTTTTATTTTATTCCTTTATAATTTTTTTTATATTTTAAATAATTTTTTTTAATAATAATATTGTTTTAAAATTTCTTTTTCAATATTAATTATTTATAGTATTAGTAAATAAGCTAACATTTAGTTTATTGTATACTTTGTATTCAAAAAATATTGTTTCTTTCTAAATATATATCTTGGAATATACAAATAAATAAAAAAATTATATTTATCTATAGAAAAAAAAATCTATTTAATTTATATTACTTTTTTTTAAATTTATTTTTATTTAAAAAATATATTTTATATTATAAATATATTTAAAAAATTACTTTTTAGTTAATGATATTATATTATAATCTCTTTCAAAATAAATTTTTATTAATAAAAAAATTATAATAAATGAGTTTTTACTATTTATTATTTTAATTTAAATAAAAAATATTATTTTTTATAATACTTAAAATTTTTTAATCAAAAAGTTATTTCTCATTTATTTTTTTTAAATAATCAAAATATTTTTTAAAAAATTTATATAATATTAGTTTTAATTATATAATTATATATTAGTTTTTGATAATATTTGTTTTTTATTTATTTAGTAAAAATTTAATATTTAATTATAAACATAATTTTTAATTTTAAAATAATTTTTTATTAAAAGTTGATTTTAGACAAACTTAAAATTTTTTAAGTTAAAGTTTATATAATTTATAAATAATTTTAATAATAAAAAAAATTCTTACTTATTTATTACTGATTTTTGGAAAATTTCTTTTTGTGATAATTTCTATAAAAGAAATATTCAACACTCTCTTTATATACTATCTATATTATAAGCTTAAGGATATAAAAACTTCAAGAATCACTATTGCATTAAGATAGAATCTCTGAATAAAAAACAAGCAAGTTTGAAAGTCTTGCTTATTTTTGTTTGCATGAAAAAAAATTCATAACAGTTCTCCTTCATAACTTTGTCTTTATATATCTCCCACTATCAATATTTCTTTATTACTATTTCTTATTATATTTTAATAATATAAACTTATTCTTTACATTATATTCAAATAAAGTTTTTAGGTCTCTTATTTATTTTAACTCAACTTTAATTCTTTTAATTATTCTCTACCTGATATATAATACTGTATCAAATCATTATTTATAAAAATTCACTTAAACATAAAAATTAATTCAGTTTCACTATTTCAAATAATCATTATACATTCACTAGCCAATCACAAATTGTCAATTCAATATACTTATGACCAAATCAGTTTAAACCTGTTTAATATAATAATAATACCAGCTTCATATCACAACATTCCAATAATTCTTTTAATTATAACAATAACAACTTTAATATTTCCAATTTGAGTAACAACAACTTTAATATTTTATTTATATAAAAATACTGAACTTTTTATATGTCTTACTTAGTTCTTAAACAATTGTCTTATGGTTTTGCAAGTTCAAGTAATAATATCA